CCCCCCCGCCACTGCCCCCCCCCTCGCGGGGAGGGGCGGGGCCTGCTTGTGACTGACTGCTCCGCCAGCCAATCGGCTGTCGAGAGGAGGAGAAGGGCGGGCTGTGGAGGCGGTGGAGCTCGGCCCTGAGGCGGCTGTTGTCAGTAGTGGTGGCGAAGGGCCCTGGGGAGGTTGGAGGGGAGGAAGGGAGCTACGGTGGTTGTCGACCCTTGTGGAGGAGGCGGTGGTGGAGGCCGGTGGAGGCCGGTGGAGGCCGGTGGAGGCCGGTGGAGGCCGGTGGAGGCCGGTGGAGGCCGGTGGGTTTTGGGAGTGTGGTGGTGGATGGGTCCTGTGGAGGCTGCGGCCTCTGAGGTGGTGGATGGGCCCTGTGGTGGGAGCCTTGTGATGGTACCAGGTTCCTGTGAGGGGAGATGAGGTGGTGGATGGGTCCTGTGGTGGGAGCCCTGTGGTGGTACCAGGTTCCTGTCAGGGGAGACGAGGTGGCAGTTGTCCCTGTGAAGGCAACATGAGGCCCTTTATTCCCTTTTGCCCACCATGAGCCTGGAACTGCAACCGCTGGTTTTGTGGCCTGCTTGCCTCGTGTCTCTGTTTGAAACGAGTGGTTGGGGTCTGGGCTAACAGAGACATAGCCTGGGAGTTATACAGGGGCTTTAGAGTTTTGAGACAGGCATGGTAATTAAGAAGGATCTGGTATTACAATAATACCTGCTCTGGCTGTAATTCCTATTACACCTGTAATACCTAATATTAAGAGTGTGATAGTCAGAAGGCTGAGTTGCTCTGAGGTGAGGGTAGTGGAGTTGGCTACAGAGATTCTCCGAGGTGAAGGAAGGTGATTGACTGGGTTGGGCAGAGAAGGTGAGTACCACAGATTTCTACCCATAAGTGGACAAAGTTTTGGATTTGGGTGCCCTCATTTCAACATCCTTTTATTAACACACAACAAATCTCTTTTAAGATAACATGTGTTGTGAAAAACATTGATGTGAAAGGCTAGATATTCAGTCCCCCTTCCCTACTAAAGCCTTCAACTATAAGATGCAAATGCGTATCTTCTTTTATAAGTAACTTTAATTTTATTCTTGCTTTTGGTGTAGGATAAAGCCTGGAACTGAAACAGCATGTACCGGATTTGCAGCTGTTAGACTGAAAAGATGTAGATGAAGACTGAGAAGCATCCTTGTCCTAGGAATATTGTTCACCAAGTACACGAGGGAAGAGGACGAGTAGAGACAATATGGGAGTCATCACTTCTGCATACAGACTGTTTGAATTTATCTTAAGCTTTAAGTCTCTAGGAAGAATAGACTCTACCAATAGTTTTTTGAAATGTATCCTAATTCAGGATTCAGATTAAAGTAGGTTAATCCAACAAGCCACTAAAATGAAAAGGCAGAATGGAAAATTGATTGTTGAATTATGACTGTCACATCAGCTCTAATTTAACATGGTGACATCAAGATAAGTCAGTGTCTACCCATACATGAGTTCATCAGCGTGACAAGACGGTTTGAATTGTGAGACTCCCAATTCCTAAAGGTGAAACGCAACTGAATTATAACCTACTGAGAGGTTGGTTGGAAGGCACCCATGGGTGAGCTAAACCGGTGCTTTCCTAAAACAAACCAGAAATTGACTGTTTTGTAGTTCAGAGAAAAGCTTAACTGTGAGAAAATATGAAATCCTACTCGAGGATGAAGACTGAACTGAAGAAGAAATTTGTAAAACCAGGTAGGCTGCTTGGTATGAACCCAATTTGTTAATAAACAGAATGTACTCGCAACATTTGGCTGGTTTACAGGATCCTCAAAAGTTTTGGAAGCGGATCAAAGTTTTGCTTGGGCGGCTGGGATTTTTCCCTCTCCCCTCCACAATACAGCAGATGAGGAAGCTTTTAGAGAGAAGTGGTCTGGAAAACATGCTGAAAAGTGGGGGGCCGCAGCTCCCCGTGCCATGGGAGGAGAAGGTGGAGGCCCCAAGGGGTGCTGCTGTCTGAGGTGCTGAAGCTGGAGGGCAGCGAGGAGGACCGACCCCCCCACCACGCGTCCCCTCCGCTCCCCCCTCACACCAGGCAAAAAAGTAAGGCTCGGGTGTGAAAAGCCCACTCTTCACTTTGACATGTTTAGATGAGGGATCAAACTGGCAACTGGTTGTGGCTGTTGGGCTGCTGGTTAGTGTGTTTAAAAATAGAGATTCTGATCTTTCTCCTGACTTTCTGAGGAGAAAGACCTAGGTGGATAATTGGATGACCATGAGCCAGCAATGGGCCCTTGTGGCCAAGAAGGCCAATGGCATCCTGGGGGGCATCAAGAAAAGTGTGACCAGCAGGTCGAGAGGGGTCATCCTCCCACTCTGCTCTGCCCTGGGGAGGCCCCATCTGGAGCACTGGGCCCAGTTCTGGGCTCCCCAGTTCCAGAAGGACAGGGAACTGCTGGAGAGGGTACAGCTACAAAGATGATAAGGGGCCTGGAGCATCTCCTTTGCAAGGAGAGGCTGAGGGACTTGGGGCTTTCACCTCCTTTGCGAGGAGAGGCTGAGGGACTTGGGGCTTTTTAGTCTGGAGAAGAGAAGGCTGAGGAGGGATCTGATCAATGCTTATAAATACTTAAAGGGTGGGTGTCAGGAAGATGGGGCCAGTCTTTTTTCAGTGGTGCCCAGGGACAGGACACGAGGGAATGGGCACGACCTTGAACATAAGAAGTTCCACCTGAACATGAGGAGGAACTTCTTTCCTGTGAGGGTGGCAGAGCCCTGGCAGAGGCTGCCCAGGGAGGTGGTGGAGTCTCCTTCTCTGGAGACATTCAAACCCCTCCTGGACACGTTCCTGTGGGACCTGCTCTGGCAGGGGGTTGGGGGAGATGATCTCCAGAGGTCCCTTCCAACCCATGTGATTCTGTGATTAGTCTTTTTACCATCAAGGCATGGCTTGTGAAGAGGGTACGTTTGGATTTTATTACATTATTCCTTAATTATAGTTCTCTGCCTCACACTGCTGGAAACCCTGTGAACTACCTTGGTGCAGGTATGCAGGCTACACTGCAAAGCTCCTAGACAATATTTTTTCTTGTGTAAGCATCATATTTTGTGAAAGTTTTCTCTTTTAAATCTGGGCTAAAGCAGAGAAATGGCAGTCTGACTCATTGGTCTTTACTGATGTGTATGCACTATGAAATTTAAAAAGATAACACTTCAGAAAGCTGGAGCACGTTCTCTGAAAATGTTGAGGCTTTACCATTTTTTTTAGAAACTAGAATTCACAGGACACACAGCCATAAGAAGCTATACAAGAGAACAAATGTGGGTGCACTCAATTTAAAAAAGAAAAAAAGATGCTTTCTGCTTGCTTCCATGAGCTAAAAATTTTAAGGTGATTATCCTGAAAAGGTGTTTATAAAGGTTCCTGATGATTATAAGCGTAAAACTTACGTATGATGCACACAGCAGTTTAGGTGCTGGTAGAAATAACACAGTCCTGACTCAAAATAATTAGCTTTGCCAGAGGACTTTCCTTGAAACTCATTTCAATTCCAAGACACACTAGCACTGGGATTTGATAACATCCTCCACTCAGGACTGCACAAAGAGGGCTGAAAACAAGCTGTTATGAAAAGGAATGAACTGATTGGTCTCTGCAAACTCCAAGCCATGGAGATAGTGCTGGAAAGTGTCATCATGACGTGGGGGGTTCAGAGCCAATCAAGCTGAGGGAGAGGAATCTTTGCAAAACTGCTACTTCAAATGACAGGGTTGGATAAAAAAAAAAGATGTGTATTTTTATCCTGGGATAAAACAATTCAGGTTAGGGGAAAATGAGTGTGAAGCAGAGATGGATGCTCTTGACAAAGAATGCTTAAGGAATGCTCACACGTTACACATCTCATAGTGATGTCTATACAATAGGTACTGTGGTTAGTAATACATTAGCATATTATAGAACAACAAATATCAGTCATCAGTAAATTATGCATATTTAATGACTTTCTTATCTGCTCTGTCACTTCACATCTTTATTTCTTCTTTTTTTGTTTAACGTTCAGGTAACTCCTTTTGTTTTAAAAGCTCTTCGTTTTCTGTCTCTCTGGTTTTCTTTTTGCTCGCCTCTTCCCTAAAACAAATTTTCAAACGAAAATTGGGTACAATTTTACCTGTTTACCCAGCCTAAGAATTAGCACGTGGAAGAGGAAAGGATACCTGGTCATGGTGGTTTTTTGTCCCCTGTATATACTGACAAAGAAGGTTTTTTTATGTTAAAAAAAAAATGCACCAAAATAATACCTGGTCGTGGTGGTTTTTTGTAAGAAAAACTATTCCCCTGTATATACTGACAAAGAAGGGATTTTTATGTTAAAAAAAAAATGCACCAAAATGCAGGAAGAAAACAGAAATTTTGGAAGGCTGTGAATTAGCTATTCCACTGCAGATGTTACAGTTCTTCTTGGTTACCACAAGAGGGACACAGAAGGAAAGCTAATGGAGGATTGGGGAAAAAAATTCAAAGAGCAGCTTGATGCAGGTTCATAGCAATTTACATTTTCCTTTTGTTTTGGAGGACCTTTTGGGATCAGAACATTCCCATAGCTTCCTTCATCCCAAATAAGCTTTAAAAAGCTTTATAGACCTTAGAAACAGTGATAATAAGCATTAATAGCTAAAATGGATCTTTTCCCAGAACTTCTTCATCTTTCCTCAGTGTTTTCCCATTGGAATGTCTGTAGTAGTGTCGGGACAGGGAGCGGTTGGGCTGGCTGTATTTTTGTTTCATTTCTAGCTGTTGGACCAACAAATATTGCAGCATTTAGTAGGCATGTGGAGAAGAAGGTTAGGGAGCTATTTTTTGTTTATTTCTATTTAATTTTCCCAAATTAATGGCTGATGATCCAAATGTCGTAAGATCAGAGCTCATATAAATGCCTTCATGAAACAAAAGGACCATAAAATCCCCTTAAGTAAATATTGAGGGGTTTATTGGGCTCTCGTGGCATTAAAAAGCACAGTCTTAATATGCACTAGATTGAAAGTAATGCAGCGTGTATGTTTAAGGTTATGCAGTCTATTAATCCTTAATGTCAGGAAAGCTTTACTTCCAGCCGTGGTGAGACAGAGGCATCACCAGTTGGGCATGTTGCTTTATGGGATCTGGACAATAATACTGGGAGAAAAAGCTGTTCTGAGTAAGATGGAAAAATAAAAACTTTTTTTCTTTTTTAATTATAACTTTATGGACTTCAGTCTTAACGCTTAAATTCGTACAACAGGTATTTTAAGATTGCATTAAAAGCTCTCTGTCAAGTGGTACTGGATTGAACGGTCATTTTTAAAAAGCCCTTTAATGCCCAGAATGTTTTCACAAGCTCAAAGCAGATCAGAAAAGTATTATTGTGTAAATGTAAGGATTTCTCTAAGGTGCCAGAAATCTAAGTGCAACCGTAAATGCAACCCAGCTTTGATTTCAGGAGTACGAGTAATGTAGTGTAGAAGATTCACAGAAAAGGGCTATTATTCATTATCAGGGGAATCTCAATGCTTTTATCCTTCAGCAAGTTGTGTAATATTTCTGTTTCAACTGATTTACCTGCAGGTTCAATTGTGGCTATAAAAAGTATTCCTGAAGCAAGTCATGGGGAGGTGACTTAAAACAATGATGGAAAAGGAGGAGAAGATCCTGACATTTCTTCAGTGATCTTGAATGGAGAAGGTACTTAGATATTAAGGTGATGAGTGACATAAAAAGATAATAGCAGTATATGAAAGCCAGTAAATGAAACTAGCTATAAACTCTGTGTTATAAACCAGTTTTCTTTCATTGTCTGAGCTAAGTGGATACTAAAAAGCTAATAAAGTGCAAAAAGGTAACTTAATATTAAAATGCTAATATTAAAAAGACTTTATTTCAGTATAAAGTTTGAAATCCTTCCCTTGAAAAATGTATTAAAATCCTTTGTAGCTCCCACTCCTTGAAAACAGGTGAAGTGTGTGTTCACCCTAAACAATGCCACGTTAGCACATGGATCTGAATTCAAGGAACTAATGTAGAGGAAAAATCTTTTTATAAACAGAGCTCCTGGCTTTCTGCAGGTTTTTGGTACTATGTGAAGTGTTCTACTTCTCTTCAACTGGCCACAGAAGTTAAAGATTGCTAGCAAAAAGGCATCATTTCTAAAATCTGAGAAAAAAACATGCTGGAATTGATGGATATATTCAAGAAGATATTTGAGAGTATCTGTTACCTATTAAATCTGGCTTTGGTAGGAGTTCTGGAAGGAGTAGAGTTGTTAAAAATATTCGGTTTCTAAAGGGGCATCAATGTTTCTTTAAATGGGAATTCTTCAAAACAGATGTTGTTGTATCTGAGCTTAAAAACAAATTTTGCAGCTCATGATTGACTACAAAGAGTGTCCATGTTTCTTTGTTTTAGTTTCTGGCAGGTCTCCTGGGCAGATGGAGAAGCAGTGAGGTTATTTCGGTGTAATGTAAAATCCAGGACTTCACAAAGGGTTTTGATGTGTGCTTGAATCTTGTGGACGGGTGTTCCTCCCTCTCTTTTAGTGGGGAAAATAGGAGAGTGGTGAATTTTCAGGTTATCCCTGATGTCTCATTTAAGATTATAAATACTTTTGAGTTTTAGCAACATGACTTCTAATGTGGTAACAGCTTGCTTTCTTCTCAAAACATTACTGCTTTACAGACATGTTTTTAATTCTGGGGGAAGATAACATGCACAGGGTTAAATATGAGGTTGTTTTTGTAAAGAGTATCTTAACAAATCATTTGAAAAACAGTATTTTTTTAGTCCCACCCTGTCTTTTTCTTTGCTTTTTGTTTAAGTGGATAACATACTTGCATTCTCTACATATAAAGTAAATCCTTCCAAGTAAATCCTTCTTCCTGCTGGGAGAGAAGTCTGTTAATTTGGCACTTGTCTTAAAATGAAATAATGTAAGCAATCCAGTAATTAGGTGTGTTGCCCTTTGGGTTTCGCCGGGGGGGTGTATCTAAACACACATGTAGGAATGTGTCTTTAGCCACATTATGTGGTTACGTGACTTATACGAGTGGTTCAGATTCCTGTTGGACTAAACACCTGCATCCAAGATGGTCCTTGTCCTGAAATATGAACCATTTAATTTTTTGGTCTCCAGCTCTCAAGAATATTCCTCTTTCTTTTTTTTTTTTTTTTTTTCATGGACATCTCAGTTCCTTTTGGTGTGAAACGCAGAGTTCACCAGCTTGGCCTTAACTTTTTGTTGCAAATATTGAAGGTTGAGAAAACAACAAGTGTAAGAACTTTCATACTGTAGTAGCAGCTATAGGTCAGGCTGGTAATATTAACAGTTGCTTTTCCTTTATTTCTTGCTGGAAAAAAAAAAACCCCAGATCTAGAATTGAGGGAGGCTAAATGTTTTAGATGTTGCAGTTGTTTTGCCATCATGGAAGCCCTTCCTTTAGAAAGCCTCTATTTCTGATGGCTGGGGGTGAGTGCAGGGCAAGAAGAGGTTGGGTGCCTGAACCAGACTGGTTTCAGGATGGAGAAACTTACTTGAAGTGGAAAGAATGTTTTCTTTGCAGAATGCTGTGGATTTGAGGAGGAACCAAGCCAGTACTGAACGCAGGTCATGAATGGTTACAGTGCAGCTTTGTAATGCCTTCCCAGAAGTCATGAGTTCCTTGGAAATGTACCCAGGCCACTGGTGGCATTCCATCAAACAGGATATGAAAAGATCAAGAGGGGAGTGGGGTCCCAGATTTTAAAAGTGCTCCTGAGAGTGAACATTTCAGTTGATTACACCACCTACTTCCTAAACACAGTGGGCTTAAAATACAGTAGACTTGCCCCTACTTTCTTGAAGCAAGATTTCCCACTATAAGATTGATGTTGAGGAGTGTTTCATGTAGTTCCTTTGCTAAAGGTTAGTGGTTTTCCCTTTCTTGGTCTGGTTTCATAGGCAACTCCAAAGCTGCTAAGCCAGGGCAGAGGTGGAGTGATCCTCTCACCCCAGTTTGGTGGGGCTGGTTGCTGAGTGTTTCTCAGATGGGATGATTTAAGACCCACTGACCTGCCTTGGGAGCTGCAGCACCCTGATGGCAACACCTCAGGACCTTCTCTGGACCTGATCTATCAGGCTTTCAACAGCTCAACAGTGTGAGGAGGCAGAGTTCCCACCATGGAAGGCAGCCAGTGTGACAGTGAGTAAATCAATGGAAAGGTGCTGGAAGAGCTGGGAAAAGATAGAGAGATAAGGAGTCCTTCCACCCCGTTCCCTCCAGTGTCACACAGACCAGCCATTATCCAGTGGTGCCGTTTGAGATTCCCATTGCAGAAGCTTCTGCAGGTGCTATAATAAAAGTGGAGTCTGCTTGAATTCCTGGACCCTGAGCAAGGCCCATGGCAACGCCACGAACCCATCGTGGAGTCTGGAAACTCTGAACTGGGGCTGTTTTTACTAAAAAGGTAATTACCGGGCTTGATTTATGATCAAATAGAAGTTTTCAAGCAGCTTCTCAATTCTGATCCAAAAATCCATGAGCCTTATGTCATGTGGAGGAAACCCAGAACACAGAACATTTTTTTTTTTATGTAGTTGTTAGCAAATGTTATTAAGAGCATGAAATGTTGTTGAACTCCATCCTAAAGTCCTTTATTTCAGCTTGAGTATGAAGACAGAGCAAAGGTGCTACGGGAAGCTTTCTGGCAAGAAAAAGGCATTCCAATCTCAGACAAGATACTAACTTATTAGGCCACCTTCCTGGCAGCAGATTAGTTTATGACTTTGCTGGAAGAGGTGATTTGCACAAAGGATATGAAGAAGGTCTGGAGAGCAATAATTCTAAATAGCGCTTTAGTAATGATGTCATTTAAACAAAAAAACTAATGTTAAACATTGGGCAATGAAGGCCTTTGGATCAAGAGCAACACAGGGCTACTGGCCAAAATGCAGAGGTTCTTCAGCAGGAGAAGTTGCACAGCGTAATGAAGAGCTGGTGGAAAGTCCAAAGCATGCAAGGTCATGATGGAAAAGCCATATTAGAATAATCCTGAGGAGTGGCAGGATAAATAACCCAGTATTTTCTGGAAGCGTGAGGGCTTGGAAATGGAGGGGAGGAAGGTAAAGTCACTCTAGTCAAATAGTGTTTTCACTCGTGATCAGTCCGTGTGTCTTGAAGGCAGAAGACCCAGTCTTGGGTCAGCTGGAGCCCTGCAACAGCCCAAATGATTGTGACCTGTTCTCTTGGGGCTCCAAACAAATCCAGTTCTTACCTGCATCCACCTCCTTTGCTGGGGAAGCAGAAAGGCTGAAACAAAACAAGGGATATTATTCTTACGGAGTTGACAACTTGGTGAACATCAGGAAACATGGAAAATGTCTTTTAAAAACTGGGTTTATATTTTTTTTCTTCATAGGATGACCCATTACGGTGCTGAAAGTGGTCTGAACTGATGGATGACCCAGGCTGGGGTGCAGAGATTAGCCCTTTACTAGTAAGTACGTATCATTTTAATCAAATTCCCAGTGAATCCAGCTATGAATAGCTGAAGGCCTGGTCAGCTTTGTAGGAGGCCTCACATGCCTTCCTCTTTATTTTTTCCTTTTTATACCATTTGTTCCATATTCCGCTAGAGGCCACCACAAACCTGATCTGGAAAAAAAAAAAAAAAAGAAGAAAAAGGGAGGGGGGCACCTGCAGTACTAAATGGGAAAAGCTCCTGTTTTATAGGGAGATTTAGAAGTGGAACTTGGATGTCCCTAGAAACAACTTCTCTTCCCGCTGTGTTAGGAGTAACTCCCAGCTGTGACTTGAAGCCAGCAAATGATCTCAGGCTGTGAGATCAGATTTTGCTGAGTATAGAGGGTTAGACATGTTCATTACTCTTTCCAGAAGATCTCCAAACCGAGCCATGCGTCGATATTTGATTTCCTTGGGAAATATTGGCCTTCACGGTAGCCTTTACTGCACTTGTGTATAGAGATTCAAAGTTCCAACGTTGGTTTCCTGCCTTGCCAGTAGAAAGTTGCTTTTGTCATTGCTATTTATTCACCTGAGGCGTGGGGTTCCTGGAATTGTGTGTGCTTTCCTGGAAGAAGTGGTGAAGGGTGTAATGGCTTGTGCAGAAAGCATCCAAAGGCTGAAAAGATGTCAAGGAGAGACAAGGCAGCTGGAGTTTAGGGAGAGCTCTCAGATTCCACTCTCATGATAGGTATTTCTCTGGCCGTCATTGTCTCAGGAACTCGATGTCACTTACACCCAAAGTGTTTTGGCTTGAATAAAAGTTAATGGAAGAAACTGCCTGCTGTGCTGGCCAAAAGCAATTGGCCTTTATTGAGGGGATGCATTGCACAAATACAGAGGTTCAAACTTCTCGTTTCCATGTGGAATTAAAATTTGAATAATTCTGTGACCCTCACAATTAGGCTAAATATGTGTCCTTGCAATCTTTGGATGGGAAGAGCAGTTTAGGTGAAGCAAGGACTTACTCTGAATCTTTACACAGACCATGATTCTGAAAAATACTGTGGAAAAAAAAAAAAAAAAAAGATTGGATTTGCTTTTGTGGCTGTTTTTCTGCTCTGGGTGGGGTCAGGAGAAGGAATTGCCAGAAATCTCCAGAGCCAGTTCATTCCTGTGAGATTTCTGGTCTGATATTTTCTTGAAAACTCCAGAGGTTTGGATTAGTCTCCAGGCTCCATCTTTCTGGAGCGTGTCCCACCACTTGCGAGCCCTTGTGTACACGCCATTTTTCCATTTCTTTAGGGCTGAAAAAAAAGCCCCAAGCCATAGTCTGGATGATGTTGAATTTTCCTCTGACTTTATAAATGATGCACAAAGAAGCACAATTTTCGGATCAAGCCAGTAATCTGTAATGTCTCAAAGCTCATGAAAATAAAATGTGCGTGTGAAAAGAGATGCATAAGATGACCTGACAGCGTGCGTGCCAGGAAAAGCAGGCATTTGTGACTTCTTTGTTTCCACAATCTGTGACGTTGGTGAAACAAGTGGTTTCACAAATGCAACTGTTTCCTTTAGGGCTAAAGAGGCCTCTTGAATCGATTCTTGCACCCCTTAATAACTTTCCCTAGCCTGGACCAGGTAGCAACAGACGTTCCCTTCAGCTCTGCAGAAGCTGCCACTCGAATAACATTTCTGAGACATTTGGGTGTGCTTTCAGGGGAAATACTTCTACGTGAGAATAGCTGAGTATTTACCGTTGTTATCTACCCCAACGTGAATGAGGGCTCAGCTGCCGGGCTCTCCGCTCTGATTTCTGTTTGAAAATTCACCTTCATATTGGATGAGATCTCTCTTTTGAGAGAGACAAAGTGCTCCTGCTTCTGAGGACGATACCTGTCCTTCCCCACCCCCAGAGCGTGGGCCCTCTGAACATCTTTGTCTATTCATTCCTGTGACAGCCCTAATTATCTTTGACAGAAAGCCTATGGAATGCCTCCGGCACACACTGGAAGGGGGACAGCAGTGTGGAGAATATACTGCCTTGGGATAATAATGGGCTCTGTCTACAAGAGACTGGGTTTGTCATTCTCTCCTCAGCCTTGAGGAGCTGGCATCCTTTTGTGGTCAAGATTTTGGGAACAATTAATGAAGGCATAAAAGACAGTTTCCAGGAAGAAGCTCGAAATAAAAGTTATTAATCAGTCGAAGGAGGGTATAAGCAAAAAAGATTGAGAGAATGTTAAGCTGTGCCACCATCATAGGAGGAAGAATGATTTTTGTGGAATACTAAGGCTCTGCTTTAATAATAAACCCGTTTTCTTTTTTCATGTTCAAGATTCTCACTTTACATATGGATAATGAGACCACTTTAGAGAGCAGCCTTGACAATCTGCTGGTGCTTCCTATATCCCTCTGTTCTTTGTGCCCTCCACGAATCTCCTAGTCATCCTGATTCCACTGCAATTGAAGAAAGCATCTCCACTTGAAACATTTTCATTGTTATTCATACAGGCTTTTTCCCCTATTTTCCTTGTGGAAGAAAAAGTCATATTTCTTCATGAGAGCGTTAAACTATTAATATTAAAACTGAACTTAAGCGTGTAGCCTCTTCCTGAGACGAGAAAAAGAGTATTTCATTTAGTGATTGACTTTTTTTTCCCCCCTTTTGTGTTCCATCTGGTATTTTGAAGAGTTGAGTTTGGAGAAAGCCATGGTCAGGCTTCTGCCCTCATGCTTTCAGCATCCTCATAGCCAGGGAAGACGTGGGGAGGGATTAACATGGTATGATCTGTCTTTTCTTTTAGGACAGAGGAAGTTAACTCTAATTCTCAACAGTGAAAAGGTTTATGTCTCCTGCAAACAGCTGACTGCACATTACATTTTTACAGGGTACCTCAACAGTGGTCTTTTGATCGCTGGTGTCCTGAAAAGACCTGATTTCTTGGTGCTGGTTTTGCTTATTTCCAGCTGTTGAATCACACTAGATATCTTCCTTCTGGTTTTTGGTTTGGTTTCTTTTTTTTCTTTTTTTTAAGCGTAAGCAGTAGAACTAATTGCTCTGGGGAGGTTACGTGAAGGCGAGCAAATGGGAAGAAAAAAAATGGCCCCAGTTGCAGTCGGTAAGAGAGGAAATGTCAAGAGAACTATCATTAATTTTGAATCAACACTTATTAAAAAGCTACAGCTTTTTGCTGCGTGTATCCAGGAGACCTGGACAGGTCCGCTTAATATAACTTTTGGTGTGGAAAATTTCTTGATGTTCCCCTGAGGTGTGTCCACAGAAAGGACAGCTTTGTGGTCTGTCTGCACACAGTTATTAGAACTACTGGTCCAGCTTGTTGGGAAAGGTGACTTTACCACTTCACACTCCTGGGGCAGACTAAACTGCAAAGTTCAAATTTTCTCTGTGGGTCTTTGGGATGTGACCGTAGAAAGCGCAGTTCTGTCTCCCGTGAAGGGAAGCCGACCATTCCTTGGCTCCCTCTATAAAAAGCAAGGTTTTCTCTGCAGTCCCATCCAAATGTTTCCCTTTTTTTTTTCCTGCTGTTCTGCGCTCTGTTATGTTTTTGGCTGGGCTCTCTGTCCCAAAGGTGTCTATGTTCTGGTGGTATTAGGTATGAATAGATTGTCGAGTTCCTTGGGATCTTCCTTGCTGAAAGGCGTGATGGAAAGTTGATCTTTTTTTGAAGCTGAGTGTCAAAAGGCTAATGGCATGTGCCAACTTGTGGGCAGAAGGCGGTAATTTGAGGACAGCAAATCCTCATCTATGTAATACTTGTCTGTATGATACAGAAATAGTATTATTCATACACAATATGTGCATTTATGTATAGCTACCGAACTAATCATGTGCAGACAGCTCCATGGACATATCAGAGTAGATTTCCAGGGTCCCTCAGGTTCAGGATTCTGCCTATGCGGGGGTCAATGCCAGATGTTTCTTTTGAGTTAATAAGTCTTGGTACATGATCAAACCCAAGTCAATGCTTCCTAAGAGAGGCCCCGAGACTGTGAAAAAGTGTACGTGCCGTCTGCCCACCTACATGTGTGATCTCAGAGCACTGAGCACTTCCAGTCCCTTCTGTAATGAGACAATTCCTGTTTACACACTTGCTGAAGACCCCGGGATTACACAATAAGAAGGTTTGACCACGGAGTTGAATTATATACATCATTTAGGGGAAAAGAAAAACCAGTCTGTGTAGAAGAGCTTTTGTTTTCAAGGTTTGCCATCCTTCAGAGTTTTGAGAAGTGACTTAGTACATACTGAACAACGAGTAAAAGCAATCAGTAAAACTGTGTTATTGTCATTATGTCTCTGGGAGGTGTCTTTTAGTAGCAAAAACCAAAAAAAGGGAGACCACGGCCAAAGCAGTTTTACTGAAAAAAACTGCATACTCTAAGCATTAATGATAGTCCCAACAATAATTCCCAGCAAGACGTGATGGCTTAACCATCGCATCAGTTTGCATCTCTCTTGGTCAAAACAGCCTTCAGTCTTCTCGTTTTTGGGTTTGTTGTTTTTTTTTCCAGTACAATTCAGTTAATTATTCCCAGTTCCCTCGATGAGTCTCAGCTCCCGCTGGCTCCTGGAGCAATAGTAGCTCATTGTTGCAAATGAGCTTAATCCAGTGTTAGAAGTCTTTATTGTCCCTAATAGAAAATGGCATGAATAGTAAAGGAAAAAATGTGAGATGTTTCCTGTAAGGTTTTAACAACTCTCCTGGGTGTGTGATTACAACATGTGCTGGGGAATAGCTTGGAGCAGGGTGGCGGTGGGGAGAAGGAGCTCTGGCAGCATTTTACACCCCCATCTGTAAGGCTCATTACAGCGAGCTGCTGGGGAGGAAGGAAGATGGATGGGAGATGGGAGACAGCTCTTCTTCATCTGCACATGCCACCACTTTCCAGCCCCTTGGCCTTCTGATTTGTTGTCGTTTCTCTTTGGAGGCTTAAATGAGAGACAAAGCAAAACCAAATGAGGCCCGAATTTGTGGGCCCTTTGATTGGCCTCCTGCCCTTGGTTTTATAAAAAGTGCTTCAGTTCCAGGTGTCTCGGTTCTCCGCAGACAGGGCTCTGGTGACACAATGGCTCAGGCATTTTGGAAGGGGTGGGATTATCAGTGTAGGACCCGGGAGCGTGGAACATTTGACAGTGCTGGGGCCTTCCTAGAGACAACAAATTAGATTATCAAAACTCAGCAAACCACCAGGAAGTTCTGGACCACATTTTAAATGAAGGACAACACTCAGGGTGATCTTGTAGCCCTGTCTCTGGATAGACCTTGGACCTATATTGTGGCTTTGTCACCTGTCCTGTCACTGGCCTCGTCTCCTGCTGTTCCTGAGTAGACTCCCTGGATGGAGCTACTGGTAACCAAGTAATCCAGGAACCGAGACCACCCAAACAGTCCAGGTGAGTCCCATTCATGTTTCCTGCTGCTTTCTGAGTACTGGAAGTTCAATATCACATCTGAAAACTGTGATGAAACTGAACTCTGGTGTTCTCACTGCCTTACTGGACACTTTTTATTTGTTGCAGGGCTATAGTTCTTGGATATTTCCTTCTCTTGTAAAAGTACAGAGTTCCTGCATCATCGCATGTCATCGTCTCAGCCAACGTGGGCAGAATATGTCACTTCCAGGAAGATGAGCCACTCACAGGAATGGTAAGGCTGCCCAGACAATATGTAGTATCACTTATTTGAGATGAATGTGCATGTGCTTTTTTTTTTTTTTTCTCTGAGTATCTTTCCCTGCCAATGTTTGTGAATGAAGATTCCCCTTCTTCAGAGAAGAAGGACGGTTTAGTTATTACAGTCCTGGCCCGAGCTTTGGGCTTCCAGGTTCAATTTACTTGCATGGTGTGACCAAGCAGAGGCTGCTGTGATTCCGTTCCACGTCTGTAGAGCAGGAGTCTTTCTAGCAATGTGGCAATGAAAAGGCAGGCCATTTCACTCTCTCATGATTGCTACCAGTTGTTTGTCTTGTTGGGAGTCTCATTAGAGAGGTCAAGAAACACAAAAACCTCATGGGCCCAGAGCTGCTTCTGACTCTTACTGGTGCCTTCCTCGGTCAGCTCCAGAGGGACAGGGAATCTGTCCTGATGACACACTTAGAAATTTTCAGATTAGCACCTTTCTTTTGCCCCTACCTCAGCATTCATCGAATTTAAATTAAAAAAAAAAATTAAGAAAGAAAGAAAGAAAGAAAAAGGAGGTGATAAAGGCAGCAATTTCTTCCTATGTGTCTGATGGTTTACAGATGTCTCCTGCTTATTATATGTACATGTGTTGTGTTGGCTATTCAACAGCCAAAATCTTGGAAAACCCCTGCTCAGGTCATACTGCCTCTGGTTACTATTTTTGGTTGGGGGTTAAGAGCTGAGGATAAAACAAGGACTTTGAATGTGTTCTGGGCTCATCAGTCTCTTTTTTGTGGGATTCTTCCCTCAGACATTGGACAGCATCTCTGTGCCTTTGTTCAGAAACCATCTTGCAGCTATTTTTATACACTAACGTTATGGTGTTTGTGTTTCGTAGCGTTCAAAACTCTAAGAAAATGTTCATGGTAAAGACTGGTATTTCCTTGAAAGCTGAGGTTTCATACGCAGAAAGTATAAAAGTCATCAAATTTCTACTAGTGTTGGAGGAACACACAGGAAGGTTCTTTGGGAACTCTTACTTCATGGAAGGCCCCACTTTCCATGGTGTAAAGCAGTAGCCTCCTCCCAGGAGACATCCCTGTCACAACGTGCCAGTTCCTGTGACACTGTGGTCGTGGCCCAGCTTTGTGTCATCCTGCCTATTGCCACAGCCAGTTGTGTCTCTCTCTTTTTTATTTTTCTTCTTTTTTTTGTCAGCACATGTAAATGGCTTTACAGACATGAGTCAAATTCCATTAGTAGGGGAGAAAACAGCAAGAAGAATGAATGGTGAAGGTTGCGTAGTGCGCAACGGAGCCGTGTCTGTTTATTGTATTTTGCAGGCTTGATTCTCTGTCATTGCAGTTTGCCATTGATTAAATGAAAAAAGACATTAAAAGTAGTTATAAAAGGTCTTCAGTGACCTTCAGTGTCTCTCTTTGCTGAGGAATTCACAGAGACGTAACCCAGACTGGAGCAAGCTGTAACTCTTCAAACACGTAACAAACCACAGCCTTTAATCATTTTTCAATGAATGAGGCATCCGGGGAAGGGATGTTCTTACCTATTGACTGATGGATTTTGTCTATAATATTTGCATCACTTCAGGTGTTTATGTGAAATAATGACTGTCTTCCATAAAGCCATGGGTGCTCTTCTTTGTTAGTTAACACCTCAACTTTGTTACCTCAGCACTGCAAATAGCTCTAAGTACAGGTCACTTAAGAATCCTGTTTGTTGAGATTGTGTTTTAGCAACGGATGAAATAAGTATTTGTACATAATCGAGCTGTCAAATCATGTTTTGCAAACTTCTGAGAGCAGGTTTTTGTTTTGCCTGGAAGCACATAGCAGAAAGGTAGGACAAGGCTGAAGATCCTGTTGGCTCCTGGGCATCAAACTTCAGTGTCCAGTCCTCTTCCTCTTCTCAGTGTGTGTCTTTAGAGCTTGCAAATTTTAGACAACAGCATTCAAAAGGAGTACAAACTGACAAAAAAAACTGTGCCGTGAAATTCTGGTGTATTGGGCTTGTTACTGATCTCTTTATGAGTGAAATGAGTGTTGCATAAATGTGTCAGGTTGGTTTGACTTCAGCTGTAGTCTAGCAGTTCACCACAATCTTCTGAGTCATGGATAGATTGTGTTTTGTGACAATTAGCAAGAATCATGACTGATTAGGATTTAGTTGAGACTTCAAGGCTTGTATTTCTCCTAGAACTGACTGTTGACAGTCTGCAACACCTACCATAATTTTTCATCTCCACCTTTCTGTATTGACTGCATAAAACCTGGAAGCTGCAGACGCTACCAGGCTCTTTTATGAAAGTATAGAACTGAAATGCAGGTTTCAAAGAAGGGACTAATCTGCTTTTTGAGTCCGTGGTGAGTAAGAAAAGAAGCAATGGGCTTAAATAGCACCCCTCAGAAACATTTCCTAGCAGCAGGAATATAAAGCACTGGAAGGCTGCCTGGGGTGGCCGCGGCGTCTCCATCGCTGGAAGCCTTTAAGAAGAGGGTAGAGAAGTCTCTGTGAAGAGTTCCACTGGTCCCATCCATCCTGCATTGGAAGGAGAGGAGAAGTTGTTTGAAATCCTTACTGATCATCTTTTATATCATTTGGTTTCTTACGACCATAAATATATAAGAAACATTGTAAAACACTTAGCATACCATTTCAGAGGGTGTAGGTGTTTTTCACTTATTTTTAGAACTTGACCTTACAAGACTGAAAAATAACTTTTTCCTTCTGACTTTTGTCCTTCTCTTGGCAAAGATTAGTTAAAAACACAGAGATGGAAAATATTTAAACTTTAAACTAGCATGAGCTTTTCTTTTTTGTTGTTTGTTTGTGTGCTGGGCTCATTTGTGATGTCAACTCCAGGCAGGGAAAAAGGTGTAACGAACCTGGCACTGCACAGGGTGCAAAACCACTTTTACACTGAAGCCCAAATAAACACTTTTTTTTTTTTTTTCTTAATTAGTAATGCTTAAAAAATTATATTGACAAATCTAGAAGATGTTTCCCCATCAGATACTAACAAATCCAGATATACTAGCTACTTTTGAATTTGTCCTTTTTAAACAGCAGCAGCCACCCAGAAGTAACCAAGTCATGACCAAACACTTTCTGATCTGCTACTGTGTGTTTAAGCTGCGTTGGAGCAGCAATTTACAGGGATTTCTAGCCCTCAGATCTGAATATAGCAAGGTATAAAATGAGTCCAAGGAAAATAAAAGTAGGAATGACCTCACCCTGTGGAGACACCGTGTCTTGCTCAACTCAAGAAAGCTCTGTATAAACTAGCTACATTTTAATTTGTACAGTTAATTTGCTGCTGTCAATGTATAGAAACGATCCCAGAAATGCAGACTAAAGAGAGATGGCTTTGGGTTTCTGGAAGAATGTAAAGATATATTGATCACTGCCTTAATATGCGTTAATATGCCTTAATTTCAAATATTGAAAATTGGTGTAATGCAGGTTTAATATGCCTTGGTTCGTTCCATTTAGTCTAAGTGAGCAATAATAAGCAGTGTTCTATCACCGTGCTGTCCTGCACTAATTGATGATGAGGGAAATCTCATTTCTCATCAGTGAACATTTACTAAATTTGAGAACTTGCACCTTCTAAGCACGTACTCACAGTTCACAGTTTTCCTCTTGTGCTGCAACACATCAGCCAACATAAGGTGACTTAGAAGTAAGATGTGCTCCACTTGAGTGTACTCTCCAGCCTCCACTAATTAACTCATTATTAGTGACTCTGTGGCAGAGGAGAATAGAGATGGTGATTGTCCACACAACCAAAGTTCTCCTTTTCTCTTCCCTCTTCTCAAAAACTGGAGATTTTTTGGCCCCTGAAAACTTAGAAACACAGAAGTATGTGGTTAGCTGGATACTGGACTTTCAAGCAACTTTTTTATTAGGTGTCTGACTTTAAGGGTTTTTTTAATGTGGTTTTATTTGGTTTTATATCCTGATACCATTGAGTAATACTTGACTTAGATAGCAGAAAGCATCGTTACTGCTCCTACGTATTTAATTTGCCTTGTATTGAATAGGTCCCTATTTCTGTTTTGTTGTACCAGGGACATCTAGTTCTCCATACAAAGCAAATCCGATGGCAATTGTTTCCGAGGTGACCTCACAACTGACCCTTGTCCATTCTTCATTCCACGTGAGTTACAGCTCTTTCTTTCTGAAGTTTTATGACTTTTCCCCACTTGAAAAAAAACAGATTTTTTCTGAATAGTTGGCAAGAACCTTCCTTTATTAATGACCTATCAGGCTTCGGTTGAGGTAATGTGTTTTTCCCTTAAAATTCTCCATACCAGGTACTAATGGGCTTCCTCGCTTGTCATCTAGCAGGGGCCTGGACTCAGCAATCTGCAAAGTCCAAATGCTTCTCTCACCTCTTGACGACAGAACCTTCAAACAAAAGCTGGATGGACATCAACTCTCACTGTTTCAGGCAAAAGACTTGGTCTCTGTGGGGTGGGTGAAAAGGCATTTTTCATTCACTCCCCATTTGCTGCGATAAAATAAAAATTGTAAATAATCTTTTGCAGAACATCACTGGAAAAATACAGTATATTTTATCTTTAATAATCAGTTGCCGTGGTTCTGATTTGTTCAGAAGGACCCAGAAGTGCTAAAACCTGGGAAACTCAGTTCTTCTGAGTTCCAGCTAAACCAACTTAGCTTACCACAAGTATCAAACCCTCAAAGCTGATTTACCTGTGGGTTGACAGCAAAAAGTCACATGCTGGGTGTAAGATGAGTTGGCATGTGCACCAGACAAGCAGAATCACCCAAATGCCACCCAGGTAACACAGGCAAATTAACTTTATTTTGCCTCTAAATTTGCTCGGTGCAAGAAAGTGTAAAATCTGTCTGCTGCAGCAATTCCTTTGATATAAAACTAATAATATTTATTTGCTTACTTTAGTGAACATGCACCCTCTCCAGCGCCTGCAAGACTGCACCCAGTTACCTTCAAGAATTCAGCACAGCCACAGGGATGGGAAGTATTTTCCTGAACACGGGAGGTCTGAGGTCAAAATGAGAAAAAAAAATAAAAGAAATTCTGTAAATATCCAAGGATCCTGCTGCTCTAACACTTTAAAGACTGAGCTACTGTTTCCTGGGGCTTTCCTGTCCGTGCCCCCAAGGGTGTTGTGTGATGGACACCCTGACAGATTTCACAATCAAACACTGAGAATGTGTGATTGAGAATTTCACTGATCCTCGCACTAACCTTTTTTGCAGGTCGCAGTTTAACTTGCAATTCCCTTGATGTAGTAGCTTTAAGATTTTGCTTTGGGCAGATTTTCTTTGGCTGCTCTAGGTGGATTTCTCAATCCGCTCTGTGTCTTCTGATGGAAAGTGCTGGATTGAGCCCGACTGATGGAAAATGCTGGATTGAGACTCGTTCCTTCACAGACAAGAAACAGCAAAGTCTCCCTTCCTTCCATGCCCTCGCTTCTGCTCTGCATCCTTCCTTTAGACAAGCCTGGGTGGGGAGTAATAAGAACATCAGCCTCTAAAGGCCAATATATTTGCCCAATCCCTCTCTGAAATAGGATGTGATGGCTCCTCTTTGGAGCTGGAAGATGATTCAATAATTCTACCCCCAGTCTGAGTGGTAAAACTGCCTTTTTGGGAGTTTAAAGAGCCTTTTCTGAAGGTCTAGTGGAGTCCAGATGTCTCATAGCTTTTGTGATCTTGTGAGCATTTTTAGAAGGAAAATCTGTGAGGGATAGGGCTATGAATCATCCGTCTATCCTGCGTCCATGAAGAAGAAATAAAAACCCCAATCCAAAAAGAATCCATTTAATTCTGGAATTTTCTGACCTATTTTGGTACAAGCCGGTCAAAAAAAAAAAAAAAAAAAAAAAAATTAAACTACTCTCCTGATGAGTTTCTCATATTGTTTACTTTTGTAACGTTCTCTGTGGACTAGCAGCCAGAAATGACGTCCACCCCTCGTCCAGCATCAGAGAATAAGAACTTCAGAGGAAGGAATGCAACTTCATAAATAGCAAACCACAGACACTAATGGGGAGCAGAGGCAAACCTGCAGGTTAAAAATTCGTTGCAAGAGAAGCCCATACATCCACACCGGCTGGAGAGTCCAAGATGATTTCAGCTCTAGCATTTGTTTTTCTCCTCTGCCTCTCTTGTCCTTTTGCATCATGTCAGCAGAGAAGACTAGGTAAGTAATTTTATATATCTCTATATTTTCCGGACTCGTGTGCTTTCCAGACTCCTATGAAAATTCAGTTTTGCAGAAGGGAATGAGGAAGAAGGGTAACATTTCAACTGCATCTACTGAAGCCTAAAAACTATGTTTAGGGATTTTGTAGTTTCAGATGAAACTTGAAGCTTAACTGTGTAAATGTTCACTCTTAGATTTTTTTCCCCAGTTCGTCTCCTGAGCAGGGAAGTTTTGCTAAGAAAAACATTTATTCTAGGACAACTGGGAATTTTGTTGTGTTTCGTAATGACCTGCAAGAGACGCTTTACATTAATCTGCATTTTGCGTATGATTTAAGTTAAAAAAAAAACAGATTATACAGAATGTCCTGTAGCAGGATCCTCAGGTATCCTCTCGGCTTGTGCGCACAGAGCTCAGGGAAGCCTTGACTTCCAGGAACGTGGCTGTGCCAGGTTCATTATAAAAGTTTGTTAGGGAAATGCTCAACCCCAAGAGGATGTTTGAGACGCGGCAGACTCAGACTGTACCAGAGATCCAGGTGTGGGCTCCTGGGGACAGAATGAGTCCACGGAGAAGGATGCAGAGTAATGGAAATGTCTGCAAGTGCATAGATTTCCTTGGGAAATCGCTTCCGAGTGTTTGAATCATTACTGTGAATTTCAATATTATATAAAAAAAAAAAAAACAAACCCCAAACTTTTATTTTAAATTACATCTTGCTACTTAGGGATGGAAAATTCTTCCCAAGAATAACGGAAGCTGCCTGAAGCTTCATGCAGAGCTTATTCAAAACCTCTGTTTGAAGTTAGAAATTATGTGCAGGATCCTTGTTTCAATAAAAAAAAAGAAACATCACTTTAATATAGTCTTTCTGTCTCAGAATGACACATTTGTGGTACTTTCAGCTGAGTTCCCAAACCAAACTGTATTGGAGAGCTCACAAATATGCAGAAAGTCCTCTCAGTTCTGGGCTGTGAGGATCCATGAGGTTTTCAGGCTCGTTTGTCGCATGAGAACGCCGAAGTTGTTGCATTAAGTCAGAGCAGGACTCACATCCTGCCTTTGCCACTGGCAAATTCTTCACATCTGAGGAGACAGACCCTTAAATCCAGCTAATTTTCCCCTGAACACACCGAGCTGTTTGTAGAAAATGTCATTTCTCTCTTCATAAAGCTTTGCTTACGTTGTAGGCAAGGTGTGATTTCTGTTAGAGGATTGATTAATCCAGAAAAAAAAACCCCAGAGAAATGAGGTGGTGTTTTCTCACAGCATACAGGAGAACACCAGGGTTGAATTTGGCATCCAATTGTTTTTGAAATGGTTCAAGTTTTCCCCGAGAGAAATGAGGTGGTGTTTTCTCACGGCACACAGGAGAACACCAGGGTTGAATTTGGCGTCCAATTGTTTTTGAAATGGTTCAAGTTTTCTTAAAACTGACATCATTCTAGAAACAAAAAGCTACTTCCATTCATTCTTCTTGAGTGAAGCTGGATCATAGACGGGATTTTTAGCATGTCTCAAAGGACCAGGCAAGTCTACAGTCTAGCAGATGGGAGGGAAAAGTCATGTTAATCTGCCCTAGATGACCTTGTAGCATGATTTATATCCTCTGTTCAGCATAGCTTAAACAGGATTTTGCAAGGACAGATGAGCAGATGTGTCCTTTGTGCCCCAAAGCCACTACACAGCGATTTGAAATTGCTGCTACCCAAAAAAGGACCCATCTCTAGCAAGAAAAAAAGTCTTGTACCTTGAGAACAGGCGAGGCAAGGGCTGATGTGCTGGTTTTCCACGTTCAGTGCTTGGCAGCACGTTTGGGCTAGACTCAGCAAAGAGCTTTACTTTCGTGGTGCCCTTCAGAGCAGCTTCCACAGCGCTGAATTATTAATTTGCTTCTTTTGGCAGCAAAACCTTCCTATGTGTGAACTGCAGAGACCGTGCCAGCTTAACAGCTACCACAACTGCTGGGCTGCTGGGCCAATTTGTTTGCCGAGGGGTAACTGTTACCTGCCTGATGGGCACGGCTGATTATCACCCTCTGAATTTGCCCAGGGCAAAATCTACAAGTCTCTGTTATTTCCAGCAAGCTTCTAGTTAGGAACTGGCAGAGACTGGTGTGGAGGAGTCTGTATCCTTAATCTTAAACTGAAGTTAATAATATCAGTTGGTTTATATTGCTAATGGCTCTTCTGTGTTTCTCCCAACCACTCTGGGTTTTTTTTTAGGAGGTGAAGTCGGGCCAGAAATGCTGGAAGAGATGAGAGAAACGAACCGTGTGCTAATGGAAGTTCGAGATTTGTTGAAACAGCAGGTGAGTGCAAAAGGGACCTCATCCCTTACGTGCTGCCCCAGGGAGATCAGGGAATCCTCTGCCTTATGTGCCAAGTTCTGGAAATGGGGAGAACTTCTTTTGCTTTAGGTGAAGGTGAAAGGTGAATTATTGCTCCAAAAATCAGATGGAGAGGTGGTCTCACAATTAGATCTGTAATTCTTCCTTGGAATCCCAAATTCTGCTGCTTAGAACCATGTCTGCTGAAAAACAGCATACATGGAGAATGGGATCTTAAAAAAAAGACAGTCACACGCAATGGGTATATATTTAACTGGAAAAACATGTCACTTTTTCCTTGGTTTTGTGGGCTCTTGAAATCAGTAGAGAGTCCAAACTTGGACGATGGAAGAGACCTTTCAGCCATCCATTAGGGTCCTGGAAAGGGAAGTCATATGGAGTCTAAACAAGCTCTGCATTCACTCTTTCCTCTTGTTGTTTTAATCCTAAGCCTTTCTGGCTCCAGTAGCTTCTTGGGGAATTTGGAACTTCTTGGGTGCTTAGATCTTTTCCCATTTTAACGAGGAGATGGTGGTTTGTCTGGTCAACTCTCTTTTAAGGATAGAAAAAGGTTCCATTCTCCCTGTATCCACTCTGGGAGCCGAGGGCAGCAGCCTCTGCCTGCCAGATAATTGGAATGGCAGACGGGTCTCTGTGCCAGTGCAAACTGGGCGGCCTCTAATCTGCAAAAACATCTGTTGCATTGAGTTACTCTCACATTTCAGGCTGCTGCATAAATACCCAGTGTTTACTAGGAATCAGGTCAGACATGGCTCCTGGCAGCCTCGAGCAATGATTTCCAGTGCTCCCTTCCAGCTTAGCACTGCTTCTCCACAGGTTTTCTATTTGTTCTTTCTCTCGCTTTTGCCACCTACTTTTTCCTTTTTTTTTTTTTAATCCACGGCCTTTTTCTCAATGGTGCTTTCAAGAAAAACCTTCCTCAGAAGAAAAACTTGCCTGTACAACTGGAGAGCCAAGGTGGCAGTTCATAATTTCTTAATCCATGTAAAGGTTTTCTAAAACTTACTTTTCCTTGATTCAGCATCTTGGGATGTTGGCAATAAGGATGGCAAAAGGCATGACAATAAAAGGTCAGATCTACTCTCCTGAGCCAAAGGCTGAAGAATTCTTGGCACAAAGGAACCACTGATACTCATTAGCTGGTCTCCAAATTCTCCCCTCTGCTCTCTGTCCCCCATTTCTAGTAGAGGTGTTCTGGGGATTTGGGTTAGATCTATTTCTGCATTAATAATTCAAAATACATGTCCCTCGGCTGTGTTGGAGGGAAGAGAGAATCTAACACAGAATGAAACTTGCTCTTCTACCTGGGAGCTGGCAGAGAGACATGAGTAGAAGCTTTTGTCAAAGTGAAATGACTGCTCTTCTACCTGGGAGCTGGCAGAGAGACACGAGTAGAAGCTTTTGTCAAAGTGAAATGACTTAATCATGGAAACATAAAGTCCACAGGGTGTGAAAGGCTTTTGCAGGAAAGAAACCTGCTCGGATTGCCCTCTGAGATCCTAGAGAGCCACATAAATGTCAGCTGGAGGCTGACGTGCTGACTTGTGCCTGTCACATACTCCTTTCTTCATCAGAGGAACGGCATCTTTGCGCTGCCGAAGCTACAGATGATCTCTTTACTGAAGTAAGCTTGAAGGAGGACAAGCTTAGAGGAGATCAGGGGAAGTCTGGAGGGAGGAGCTTTTGGGAATAGATTCTAAATATCCTCACAGCAAGGGCATGAGGGCCAAAGAATGGCATAAGCAATATCAGAGATTATTCATGTGTCTGCAATAGTAGCTCGTAAGGGGGGGCCCTCCTGACTTCACCTACATGGTGCCTGGACTGCAGATAAAGCAGAGCTCTCTGGGACTGCTGGTTCAGCATCTTCTGGAGTCAGAAGACCCAAATAAAGTAGATTCCTCCTCCTCTACGACACTTATTTCTGTGTATTCAAGTCAAGTGTTTCCTGCACCTGTGACAGAACAGTATTCTGATTATTATTACTGAGTTGGTCTGTAGAAACACTACACTAGGGAGTGACATACAGCAGGGACTACAAGTCACCTCAGCTTCTAGAAAGTCTGTAACATGGACTTTGGGGTAAGAGTTGATTTGTTTGTAAGTAGCTGTGCAGTCTCAGAGACACCCTGTTTGCTGGCAGTGGAGCTATTCGTTTGCATAGGATCAGAACTCAGCCTGTGGCTAAGTGGTGGTTCTTGTTTCCTTCTAGATAAAGGAGATAACATTCCTGAAGAATACAGTCATGGAGTGTGATGCCTGTGGTGAGTTACTGAGTCCTGTATCCAACCGCCTCCTCTAAGCCCTTCATCCCTTTGTGTCCAAACAAGTAGTAAAATGCCACCTGTGACCATCTCCCCAAAGGATGAGCTTGTTTCACAATTATCCCAAGTGTCACAGGACACTGTAATATTAATGATGCTCTTTCCCCCCACAATATTCTGCACACATGGACCAGTGTTCATGCTGTTTTGGTGGTTCAATGGCAGCTGAAGCTTTTACCCGAGCGTGGGGTGCAGAAGTAGCCTTAAAAAGCTCATTTTTCCTTCCAGCAAAACCCCAGCATTCGCTTCCTTCCACTGTAGCTGAAATGAGCTTTGTTAGTGGCTTTGTACCACGCTGTATGTCTCAGGGTAGCTGCATCCTGCTGGGGAAAGCTGCCCAACCACGTCTCCTCCCAACGCAGCCCCTGCCTGGTGTTGGAATTGCCTGGGAATGCACACTGGGTATCCTCCGGGATATAGTTGGCTATTCCTGAGCTGCAAGTGGAAGAGAACATCACCCCCAAGAGGCATCGCTCTGCTATTCCTTCCATCCAAGTGCTGCCACCATCCAAACTAAGAGGTTGTTTACAGAGGATTTGAGAAACAAGGTCATAAATTTTCCCATACAAAACTTGCCCTCTGCTCCCCAATAAATGTTTTTTTTTTTCCTCTACACTGGAACTTACTTCCAGTATATCTGGCTTTCAGAAAGCATGGTTCTTGGAGATGCTCTGTTATTTGCCAGTACACTCAAAGGGTGGAGCAATAACCATTTCTGCATTTGGAGAGATTGTACTTCTGCTGGAAAAGACATTAGCCAAAGCTTTTGGGACCAGCAGTACAGAAGTACATTCATCCACAGAAATTGTTTTAATAATTTGCTCATAAAACTGTCCTGAACTTTCTCTCTGTTACTTGATTTCTGCCTTCCCCACTTGCTATTCTGCTTTATATGTGTTCTTCTCCTGCACTCCTACTGTAGAATTCAAGTGTCTTCAGTCATGCATTGAACAACGTGACTCACAGCAGTCGTGTGCTTCTCTCGTTATTTCTCAGAAAGAGAAGCATGAAGAGAGAAGGTTTTGTTTTTAGTGAAGATTTTACTGCTGGTGGTGGCAGAGTGTTGGTTTGGTTTGGTTTTCATTTTTTTTTATGTTGGGCTTTTAAGCAGGAAAAAGCAGGAGCAAAAAGTGTCCTTGTCACTTAAAGCAGTGGGTGTGGGAGACTTGTGACCATTCTAGATTCTGGGAAAGCTTATTCGGTCTTGAATTGGCCTTCAGTGAAGTTCTGTGTCCCATACAGCTTAATTTTGCAAGTATGGTTGTGTTGTGAGTCAGATTATGAGGGTAAGGACAAAAACCTGGCATTTGGCTTAAAAATTTAAGGCAAATTGGTGTGCAGTGGTGTGGGGACAGGCTTGATGCGTTCAGAGTGGTTCTGAATAAGACACTGGTAGCATTTTATACAAGTTAGAGTTTCCTACACATCACACAGTGCTTCATGCTTAGACCATATTGCTGTATTCCAGCCTAGAAGGGATGAATGTCCAGATTACAGATTGATTTCTTATCTGCCAGGATGAAATGAGGTTTCCTTGCCCCGTGGAGATACCAAGCAGCATGTTATGCATAACATTTATGGCACGAGAGCCTTATGTGAGCCTGATGTGAGTTATTCCTGCTCCAGACCAAGCTGACCTGTTTAACATGCTGCCTTCTACAGCGGAGATTTTGGCTGAAAACCCTCCACAACCCTCTGAGGTTTAAGGTTGTGCTGGGTGGGTTCTGCTTTGGCCACCTCTTTGAGTCCACGCCGCCGGTCAGGTGTAGTTGTAGAGGAACCAGGGAGAGAAATTATATATGTGGAACTCCAAAAGCAAGGGCATTACACCAACAAGGAGGGCAGCACAAGAGTTTTGGAGTGGGAGCTAGGACTTCTGGGGTTTTTTATTTATTTTTTGTGACTCAGAAATCTGTCAAACTGCTGCTTCTGGCTTCATTTTTCTGCTTTTACAAAACAGAGCCACAACCGCTCTGCCCTGAGAGAGGATGCAAGGAAACATCCTGCGTACGAAGCAGACCAATATCTTCTGAGGTGAAGGGACCACCTGATGATAATCTCTGGCAAGGACAGCTCTGTTTTTTAACGTTCCTCTTGTCCCCTAGGCATCCGCCCCGAGGTGACAGGCCCTGTCATCACCGTGACACAGTTTAACCGGTGCCTCCCCAACCCCTGCTTCCCTGGAGTGGCCTGCACCGAGACCGGCACTGGCTTCCGCTGCGGACCCTGTCCCCCGGGTTATTCAGGCAACGGGTCCCAGTGCACGGATATCAACGAGGTAAAAAAACAAGTAGGACGGGCTGGGAGTTACAAAACTGCCTCGTTTTTCTTGGAGCGTTGCAGGTTTGTCTTGTGGTTTATAAAGAAAAGTCTTGCGATTCCCCCTGGGAGCTGGAGTTCCACAGAAACATCATTTCACTGGAAGGAAATCTGTATCTCACCCTCCCTTAAGCTCAGTTCCATGTTGGGTTTATATCCAGTCTAGCTACATATTTCTTTCTAAAAGACACACAGGCTCAAACAATATAAATCTCTTGGTTTGTACCACACAGGAAGGTGAGTTTGGAAGACCAGAACAGTCCCTTTTGGTCTTAAAATCTTTTGAGCCCAACGGCTGATGACTTGTTAGAGATAAGATTTATTATGTGTGGAAGAGAATCAAATGCTTCCCAAATAGTCCTTTATACAATAAATCTTACCACACCACTCGTATTGCTTTACCTCTGCCATTAAATCAAACCTTGCTAGGCAGATAGTTGAAATTTTTTACTAGAAAGTTTGGCATTCCATCAAACTTACTCTCTGTGTGTATGAAGGCTTTACTCAACCATTAATTTTCCATGTCCTCCTTAGTTCTGTGGTTCCCAAAGTGTAGCTCTGTGCTCTCTGATTAGTCCACCAACAGCTTTCAGTGTCTTGCAAAGCTGAATCAGCTCTGTAGCATTTCCCTTTAAAAACCTGGCGAAGTTAAAAGGATCAATGAGAGATTTTGAGATTGAGGATAGATCTGTTGGTCACCAAAACGCAGGAACTGCTGGATTAATGTAATTCAGCAGTAGGAAGTCAGTAAAAATAACAAAGTTTTGGAGAAAATAAAGCAGCATCTGCCAGTAGGAAGTCAGTGAAAATAACAAAGTTTTGGAGAAAATAAAGCAAGCATTAGTAGCAACTCAGCTTTGGAAAGAAAATTGCTTCCCAGAGTAGTAAACAAACAACTGCTCTTGTCTTTCAAGCCCAGTGTAAGAAATGATCCAGTTCTCTGGAATCGGAGAGTGCCAGGAAGGAAAGTGTGAGGTGAAGCCAGCTCTTTGCCTGGGCAATTGATATCACCTGAGAAGAATTAGTCCTGAAAGTTGATTTGTTTTCCTTGTCTGCGCGTGCTGGAACTTGGGCGAACAGCTGAGACGAGGAAGCTGCATTTTCCACTCGCGAGGGAAAGCCAGGAACTTCTATGCATTTTGGGGTTTTCTTCTTTACAAATAGAAGCACGATAGCTGGATGTCACCCAGCAGGGCCTGGGCGGCCCTGAGCGAGCCTCCCTCACGGTTCTGCACACCCTCTGTCTGTTTCAGTGCAATGCAAACCCCTGCTTCCCGAAGGTCCAGTGCATTAACACCGCCCCCGGCTTCCGCTGCGATCCCTGCCCTCCCGGCTTCACTGGGCAAATGGTCGAAGGGGTTGGACTAGCTTATGCCAGGGCCAACAAACAGGTAAGGCCCAGAAACTTTTCTGTCTCCTTCAGAAGCCGTTCGTTCTTTCCCCTCTGAAATTCAAAGGTCTTCAAAGAAAACGGGAGGGAGATGCAGGATGACTTGACTGCATTGTGTTGGTGTGAAGAGGAGTAAGGGGAGAGACCTCCCCAAGGATGTCCCAGCACATCAACAGCAAAGTCACCTCTGCTCCAAGACCTTCCCACTGCTGAATTTATGCTGGACAGAATATGGTATCTCTGACACCTTTGTGGCTGTGAAGCCAGGCTGGGGAATCCTTCATAGCAGGACACAGAAGAGTTGATGCAGCTACTGCACCCCTCCACCCCCTGCTTTCCTGACAGATTAAAGGGGAAAAAAAAGCCAACCCTCCACCCAGTCTTAGTATGGTTTATAAGAACATATTGCCAAAAGCAGGAAGGGCACGTGGCCTGTGTTATTTCGAGAGCTGCTAGCTGGTCACAGGACACAGTCTTTGACCTTCTTGCTCCATTGACTCTCTTCTGTCCTTTCACAGTAAGGAGATACTCTGACAGCTCAGCTCAGAGCTAAGCTGTTCTGCCAGGCTAAAATCTCTGGTGACTGTGTAGAGGGTGAAGAGCTTTGCCTGGGGTCAGGAGCGTTGCTGGGCTCTGGCTTGAGCTTGTCTGAAGGAAAACTTTGGGCTTTGGGTCCTAATCAGGTGTGTCAGGGGCTTTGCTTCTGCACCTAGTGATGCCCTGACTCTGTGATCCCTGTGTGGTATCTGTTTAAGAGTGAAGTTCACATCTCTTTTGTTCTCCCTGGGCAGGTTTGTACTGACATCAATGAATGCGAGACAGGAGCTGCCAAAAATTGTGTCCCCAACTCAATCTGCATCAATACCCGGGTATGGATCTCGTAGGGACCTCTCTTCCCCAGGCTCTGGGGCCTCTGTTGGCCGTGGCTGCTGTGGAAGGTCACAGCTGAAGTTCTCCAGGACTCAACCTTAGAGTTAATTCTGGCTTTTTCTTGCAGGGATCCTACAAGTGTGGGGCTTGTAAACCTGGCTTCGTGGGGGATCAAGTCAACGGCTGCAAGAGCCAGACAGCCCGACGCTGCCCCAACGGGGAAATCAGCCCCTGCCACGAGAAGGCCCAGTGCATCGTGGAGCGCGACGGGTCCCTCTCCTGCGCGGTAGGATCCAAACCTCCCCTCCATTGGGGTCTGCTCTGCCTTCCCTTCCACTTCCCTCCCACTTCCAGATGGTGAGGGGTCTGGAGAATAAGTCTTATGAGGAGAGGCTGAGGGAGCTGGGGTCAGGCTGGATATTAGGAAAAATCTTTTCACTGAAAGGGTTCTCAGCCATTGGAATGGGCTGCCCAGGGAGGTGGTTGAGGCCCCATCCCTGGAGGTGTTCAAAAGCTGGGTTGATGTAGTGCTGGGAGGTCTGGTTTAGTGATGATGCTCCTTGTTTGTTGTGTGGGTGTCTATTTTTGTCAGTGAGGTTGAGGGTTGGACAAGATGATCTTTAAGGTCCCTTCCAAGCTAGAAGATTCTGTGATTCTGTGATTCCCTGGCTCTCCTGGGTCTGCCACTGCCCTCTCCTGGAGAGCAACCCTTCCCGACACAGACCTCCTCACCTGAGCTTCCCACAGCCCTTCCAGTGCTCTCTGGAGAACTGGGCTGCTCCTGGCACCTCACAGCCGCTCTTGGTTGTTTGGGTTTGGTTTTTTTTTTTTGCCTGAAGCGCTACAAATTTGTCAGTCATGGAGCATTACACGCAGCTGAGCAGGGAGACACACTGTTGTGCTGGAGCCAAGGCGTTTTGCTGCTGCATCTGTCTTTATAATCTCAGGAACAAGCAGAGAGCTTGTATCTGAGCTATTTAAAATGCTGTTTACAGCGTAACTCTTTCTTCCAGACAATATTTTTTTCCTGTAGGGTATTGTCTGCCTGGATTTGCAATGTTTTGTGCTGGTTCTTGTGTAAAGCCTTCAATTTTGGAGGTGTATGGCCATCAGGGGAGCTTCATTTTCTTTATCTGCTGTCTTCCAGTGCCTCGTGGGGTGGGCAGGGAACGGCTACGTCTGCGGGAAGGACACGGACATCGATGGAGTCCCCGATGAGAAGCAACGCTGCTCTGACAAAAAATGCCGCAAGGTAAGATGCAGTTGTCTCATATTTTGCTGGAAATGATGCTTCAGAGGAATGTCTGACCAGAACTGGGTGACTCTGAGTTGAGAGAAGGCCCTTGCGTGCTGGTGAGACCCTGCCCAGCCTTCCAAACCGCAGCTAAATGACATGCACAGCTCATCAGCAGGTCCTTTGTCACTTTTCTTTCAGGATAACTGCATGACTGTCCCCAACTCTGGCCAGGAGGATGCAGACAGGGATGGAATTGGAGATGCTTGTGATGATGATGCTGACGGAGATGGGATATTAAATGCTGAGGTTTGAATTCCAATGCTTAAGCTCTGCCATACCTAAATGTACCCAGAGGGCCTGCAAAAAACTGCCTAAACCTTTAATGTGAATTTAGAGACCCTGCAGGTCACGGTGTGCAATGTTTCCTTTTCATCTGAAGACTCTACAAACAAGCAGAGAGGAGAGAACATCACGGCACTGAAGGGACTTTACAAGTCACAGTCCCCTGAGAGTTAGAGACTCTCTCTAGCTTGGCCAGGCACTTGGTTGGAGATATTTTCGGGTGCTGTTGGTGTTCCCCAAAAAGGCAGTGACAGGGCTGAATAGAGGAAACCAAGACTGGCTGTGGATGGGCTGCTGGTCACGTATCCCAGAACCTTTGTCTTTTGGGGTCATGTATCCCAGAACCTTTGTCTTTTGGGGTCATAGACGGGCTGCTGGTCATGTACCCCAGGACCTTTGTCTTTTGGGGTCATGTATCCCAGAATCTTTGTCTTTTGGGGTCATGAACCCCAGAATCTTTGTCTTTCCTGGTCACGTACCCCAGAACCTTTGTCTTTTGGGGTCACATACCCCAGAACCTTTGTCTTTTGGGGTCATGTAGCCCAGAATCTTTGTCTTTTGGGGTCACATACCCCAGAACCTTTGTCTTTTGGGGTCACATAGCCCAGAACCTTTGTCTTTTGGGGTCACGTACCCCAGAACCTTTGTCTTTCCTGGTCATGTACCCCAGAACCTTCATCTTTCCTCACACACTTGGTGCCAAACGTTTCCCCCCAGCCCATCCCTCTCTCCCACAGGACAACTGTGTGTACACACGCAACACAGACCAGCGCAACACAGACAAGGACAACTTTGGTGATGCCTGTGACAACTGTCGCCAGGTGAAGAACAACGATCAACGGGACATCGATGGTGATGGGAAGGGAGATGAGTGTGACGATGACATGGATGGAGACGGTAAGAGCAGCCAGAGAGCTGCATATACACTGAGCTAAGAACCAGAAAGCTCTTCAGCACACAGCTTAGAGATCCTCACAGCAGGAACCAGCCTTCAGGGGCTTGAGCTTTACAGGTGTAGAACTAATTTCTGATGAGATGAAGCCCAGCTCAGTTCTTAAGACGCCAAAGCTGAGCAGTCAGAGCAGCATCCTTCACAGTTCAGCTCCTGCAGGGTTTAAAGACCTGTCTTCAGGACGGTGCTAACCATTTTTATTAGCACTCTCATTGTGCAGAGTCACGTCAAACCCGTGTCAGGCTTAAGAAAGAAAGATGTACCGTGAGATCTGAGCTCAGCCCAGACAAGGGCACTGCTTTGTGCTGCAATTTAAAGTCAGGAAGAAGTGTGGGAATATCCGAGTTGTCGGCAGCTACTGGCTCAAGGGAGTATGTGTCAGGGCTGTCTGCTGGGGGGGGGAAAGAATCCTGGCAGGCTTTAGAAACAGTCTGTGCACTAATGATGCTGTATTTGCACAAAGCCTGCTTTCAAAAGCCAGCGATCACAACTGCTGCTGGCCCGAGACGCGCTGTATTTATTTACAGAAGTATTTCCAGTGCATCTAGTGCTGTTTGGGTCTGGCTCCATCCTGCCGAGCGGATCCCTGCTGGCAGGATTTGCTGCTGCTGTAGGTAAATGCAGGGCTGAGGGAAGTGAAGTCACACAGGTCACCAATTAGATTGTTCCTGTCCCGTCTCGGGGCCCTTGAAAAGGCACCGTCTAAATCTTCCATGTCAAACAGCCAAAATTAACCTTGACTTATTCTACCATGATGTAGACGTCTGCTCTAGAGGAAAAGGGCTCTGTCGGGGTTTAGGGAACCGCAGACAGTTTCATCTCCATCCTCTTGGCCACTGGCTCCTGCTCGGACACGGTGCCAGTTTGGGAGGCTGGGACACAGTTAAGGACGTTTCCTCTCTGGTTCATCTGCAATAGCACACTCAGTCGTCCATCACGATGCAGCTTTAGGATAAATTAAACACGAAGAGTATGTTTTAAGATCAGATCCTGCTGATCTCTTCCACCCTCCAGACCTGCTGGGATGTAACTTCAATCAGAAGTGTGTAAAATGTACAGAAAAATTGAAACGGTTGCTTTATTACATGAATTTAACTGTCCTAGAATTTTTGCTAGCTCTTACCTCCAAAAGAGATCTTGCTGCCTAGACCTTCATAGCCCCGTTGCCTCGATGGCTCCGCTTTGCATGTTTTACAGGGATCAAAAACCCCATGGACAACTGTAAGAGAGTTCCCAACCCTGACCAAAAAGATGCCGACGGCGACGGGGTAGGAGACGTGTGCGACAGCTGCCCCACTGTCAGCAACCCAGACCAGGTGAGTGAGCTCTTGTGGTCCCACGGGTTCATTTTTCTCCCTCAAGACAGTGATTGTGTCATCAGCACCCCTGGGGGCTCACTGAGGTTGCCATCCTGCAGTCCCAAAGCACAGCCCCGGGAGCTGAAAGGCCCTGGGGTGTAGAGGAGGCAGCAGAGGAGAAGCTTGGGCTCTGCCCTCTTGCCTCCTCCCCTGCCCAGCTCCCTACAATCCTTCTGGGGCAACCTGTAAATAAACCCCATAGAAGGAAAGCTCCTGCTGCTCTCAGTGGTGTCACCGAGGCTAATAACCACCTCTCCTTCTTCTCATTGCCTAATCCTCCTCTTATCTATGGAAAGTTTAATTTATTATTGCTTTCTTTTACTAGAAAGACACCGATCACGATCTGGTGGGAGATGTCTGTGACACCAACCAGGACAGGTGAGAGCCTGCTGCAAGAACTAGACTTAAATTGCACCAAATCTGGGGGATGGGGAGTGGGGAGGGCACGTGCTGGCGACGCCATGAGAAACCAACCTCTTCTGATCAGACAAGGAAGGTGGGATTGTCTTCAGCCCTCAGAAAAACCTCACCTCTGGAATATGGCCCGAAGGCCAGCGGGTGGCAGCAGGCTTGTGTGTCACAGGCCACCGCGCTCAGATTTGTTGGAAAATTGGAATATTTGGTCACAAGTTGGAATATTTCCAATCTCTTGTTTGTGTAACTAATCGCTTATGACTGTATAAGGCTAAAAACCACCAACTTCTGCTCTCTTGTTGAGGATCCCAGCTCCTAGAAAGCTGTTACGTGCTTATTTGAAAAGCAGATGTCAGTGGATAATCTTCACCTGTCACTTTCTCCACCAGTGATGGGGATGGCCACCAGGATTCCCGGGACAACTGCCCGACGGTGCCCAACAGCTCCCAGGTGGACACAGACAACGATGGGCTGGGAGATGAATGCGACGATGACGATGACGATGATGGGATTCCAGATGTGAAACCTCCAGGTCCTGACAACTGTCGCCTTGTCCCTAACCCTGGCCAAGAGGACTCCGATGGTAAGAGAAATGGGTGCACCTTAGCTCTGCTTGGGGGGGTCTTCTGCTCCTGGTGGCCCATGCATGTAGCATGGTCCCATCTCTAGAGACAGGCAGGATCTTCTCAGCACTGACTAGAGACATTTGCCCAGTCTCCAATAATCCTGATATCAGGCTTATATTTGGAAAAGTTCTCTTCCCAAAGTTTCTACAATTTGAGGTGTATTTTCTGCTCACAGCATCTCCACAAGCAAAAGAAGCCTCAGGGTTTCCTTGCAGCTGACTTAAAGGAAGAGCTTTGAGTGCTCTGAACACCTCCACCCTGTGTAGACACGGCTGCCTTCAGCTGTGCCAGCCAAAAACTCGGGTGCACGGGGCAGGAGAAATTAATGACAGCTCGTTTCTCCTTCTCTTCCATGGTGTCCCCAGGTGATGGAGTGGGAAACCTCTGTGAAGATGACTTTGACAGAGACATGGTGATCGACAGGATCGACGTGTGCCCGGAGAACGCAGAAGTGACCCTGACAGACTTCAGGGCTTTCCAGACAGTGGTGCTGGACCCCGAGGGCGATGCACAGATTGACCCCAACTGGATTGTCCTCAACCAGGTGGGTGACCACTCCAGGAGGGGGTCACTGAGTCAGGGGGGTCACGAGCCTGTGCCAAACGGGGTGCAGTTTTCATTCCAAGACCCTGCAGGATTAACGGTGCTGACCAACCTCCTCCTGATCCTCGATCTCTCCCCAGTCACCGACCAACAGGGAAGTCGGTACCTTTGGAACTCCATTAATGAGTCAACTTTTGTCTTTCTCAGGGCATGGAAATTGTCCAGACCATGAACAGTGATCCTGGCCTGGCTGTAGGTGAGACATTTTTATCCTATTGGAAAACTTATCGCTCGTTAACCGCGTCCTTCTCTGCTCAGAGCAGCTGTTACAAGTATTTCAGACACTGCTTCATGATTCCCTCCACCTCCTGGGGAAATATCCTCTGTAGCAGGCAGAGCCTTCAGGTTCAGCTGAGCAAAATCCACCTCCTCCATCTGGATCTGGGAAGAAACGGATCAGGTTTGTTGTAGAACAAGAGTATTTGTTTTCCTACCGCTGGCAGGTTACACGGCGTTCAACGGCGTGGACTTCGAGGGCACGTTCCACGTCAACACGGCCACAGACGACGACTACGCCGGCTTCATATTTGGCTACCAGGACAGTTCCAGCTTCTACGTGGTCATGTGGAAGCAGATGGAGCAGACATACTGGCAGGCAAACCCCTTCCGAGCGGTGGCCGAGCCTGGAATTCAACTGAAGGTAAAGAATTCCTCATTTGTGCCTTTTTCTCAGCTGTGCTGCTGGGACACACGAGTGGCTGCGGTCACCGGGGCCTTTCCCCACACGCGGCTGAGGGGAGACCTCATTGCCCTCTACAACTCCCTGAAAGGAGGGTGTAGAGAGGCAGGTGTTGGCCTCTTCTCCCAAAGGACGAACGACAAGACCAGAGGAAATGGTCTGAAGTTGGGGCAGGGGAGATTTAGATTAGATATTAGAAAGAACTACTTTACTGAGAGGGTGATCAGGCACTGGAAGAGGCTGCCCAGGGAGGTGGTGGAGTCCCCATCCCTGGAGGGATTTAAGAAACGTATAGACATGGCTCTTCAGGGCATGCTCTAGTGCCCAAGGTTATTGGTTTATGGTGAGGTGTTGAGTGTGGGGTTTAGTTGGTGGGTGCGGTGTTTTTGGTGGGCGTTTGGTGTGGTGTGTTTTGTATTTGTTTGGTGTTTGTTTTTTTGGTTTTTTTTTTTTTTTTTTTTTTTTGTGGTTGGACTCGATGATCTCAGAGGTCCCTTCCAACCACTAAGATTCTGTGATTCTGTGATTCTGTCATAACCAGCCTCCTCCCTGTTGTAGGCAGTGAAGTCTAAGACAGGCCCGGGTGAGTACCTGCGCAATTCCCTCTGGCACACCGGAGACACCACCGACCAGGTCAAGCTGCTGTGGAAAGACCCTCGTAATTCCGGCTGGAAGGACAAGACCTCGTACCGCTGGTTCCTGCAGCACCGGCCCCAGGTCGGGTACATCAGGTGAGGGGTTTACAGCAGCCTTCATGCAGCACAGGGGAGGTTTAACACACCAAAGTGGCATCTCTCCTGCAGCGAGGAGGAGGAAGAGCGTCTGAGTGAGGAAGAGGTTCCTCCAGGGAGGTACCGCTGTCCCCCTGGTGTCCTTCACACGCTCCTTCCCTTCCAGAGCTCGCTTCTACGAAGGCCCCGAGGTCGTAGCAGACACTGGAGTTGTCCTTGATACCACCATGCGAGGGGGACGCCTGGGAGTCTTCTGCTTCTCCCAGGAGAACATCATCTGGTCCAACCTGCGGTACCGCTGCAACGGTGAGTTCCTTTCCAACCTCAAATAACAGGCGTTTTGGCCGTTTTGCTTTCAAGATGTGAATTTGTTCTCGGGCAGCTTGTTCCAGTTCTGATTTCTGGTTCTGTTTCTCATCTCTATTTCCTTGAATCTCACCTTCCTCAGACACCATTCCAGAAGACTACGAAACCTTTCGAGTGCAGCAAGACTAACTCCCACCTCGATGTCTCTCCAGCCAAAGCCAATCTTGCTTTAATTAAAGCCCCCTCCCCGTGCTCAGCTGCCCTGTATCTGGTATAAAGAACCCTAAGGACCTGTAGGTACCGTTACCACTGCCCCCACCCCGCGTGGCAACACCTCTCCCAGCCCCTTTCCCAAAACAGCAACTTCCTTTAAATGCTACCCCAAAAAAAACCCAAGAAGGTTCCTGGGAGAGCAGAGGCGTAGACAGCGAGTGTGGACAGAAGCCCCTGCTGTAAACACTAGTTTTTCTACACCGCGAGGAGGAAAAAAAGAAAAAAAAATTAAAAATAAAGTGCTGAGGAGCTGCCTGAGGGAGCTGGAATCGTTCGAGTGGGTTTTAGCACGGATGAGGCCCAGGAAATCTCTTTCCCAACTCAAAGGCTCTCACGTGTGAACGTTGGGCTCTCTTTTTTCGAGCCTGAGAAGGACCCGGGGAGCAGCCCATCGAGTTGCTCATGAAAGGTTTTAAAAAGTAATTAAAAAAAAAAGCACTTTAAGGAGAGTATCTTTGCTCTGGATTGTGGGATAATAAATACTTTGGAATGTTGGATAATAAATACTAGATTTCTCCTTGGTCACCTGCAGGTTGCTCTTTCCTCTTCTCAAATCCCTTTCCGTTCAGACGCGGAACAGAGAAACCCCCCGAAGCCGAGGGGAGCCCCCGGCCGAGGTCAGAGCTTTGGGGGCAGCTCCAGTGCCCGGGGCCACTGTCTGAAGACCCTCCCTCCCCTCAGAGCCTCCTGCCCAATGCAGTTAGTTCTAGAACCAGAAATCCTTGATTTTTGCTTGATTTCTCCTCTGATGTGGCACCAAAGAGCCGAGGAACCGGGAACCGCAGCCGTTGGTGTCTCAGGTGCTGCCCTGAACTGGGAAAAGGGTCCCCGGGCCCTTCCAGGCAACCCCCAGCCCAGCACTTCCCTCCTGAAAAGCCAGAGTTCAGTTTTCACAGCTGTAAGGAGCCAACTTAACCAAAAATTAAGGTGATTTTTTTGCCGTTTCTTTATAAACACGAGCACCGGAACCACCGCTATTTCAACGGGGAAAACCCATCAGTCAAAAAGCAAACAAAGGACAAAGGAAACTGAAGGAAAAAGCCCAGCAGCCAGAGACAAAAACATTTCAACTTTTATTACATTTCATTTACAAATAATGCAAAGGTACAAAGACAAAAGCCTTCACACAAAGGAAAAAACAAAAAAAGATTGAAAAGAAGGTACATTTAGTTGAGCTGCTTTTTCACATCGGTTTCTCAGATTGCGAACACTTAAAGCCACCTTCAGCTTTTTTCCACTTTTACCCATAGAAAAACACAATAAATAGGACTTTTTTTCTTTTTTAACGTCGCCAGGGACAAGTTTTGCAGAGCTCCTGTGCCACAGAGCTGGGGCTGGGCAGAGGATTGCATATATCAGTGAAATAACCCACAAGTTATTTTAATAGAAAAAGTTTCGCTTGTGAAGAACAGTAGATTCTACTGTCCCTGAAAATGCATAAATCTGACCTTTTTTTCCCCCCCTCAAGCTCAAAGAACCCCATGGAGTGTCTGGTTGTAGCTGCCAGGCTGGGAGAGAAGCTGCCAAAAGCAGATGCAGTTAAAGTTTTTAAATAAAAAAAAATAAAAATAAATCAATCTTCTCCCTTCCCGAGCGCTGATACCTCTAAACTTCCATTTCTACAAAGAATCTACAAGTATCTAAACCTTCCAATTCCTCCCCAAAAGAAAACCTCAATATCTGCTGGCCTGTTGGTTAGCAGCGGACTGGGATACGCTATTTAACAGTCGGACTCGTGTCTGAATATATGAATATTCATGTCCTGAATATTCATGACCCAGCGAGTAAAGAAGGGTTTAAGCAAACCCTGTCCCCCCACAACGTTCTGCCCCATAAATATGATCATATAAGGTTTAAATTCATCCTCTACTCTGCAAGAATGGAAGCTTCACCTGTTTATGTCTATATTTAATGTCTTAGAAATTCTTTAATGTCTTAAGAAATTCCAGAATTGGGCCGAGCTCCTTCCCTCCCATCCCAGCGGCGCTTCAGGTGCTCCAGGAGCAAGTTCAAACCCAAAGAACTTAAAACTTTCCTTAACGGCTCCGAAGGAAACACCAACAACCCCAGTTCAGCACCTGCAGAAACCAGTTCCTCACTCAGACCTAGAAATTGAGACTTTTCATCCTTTTTTTCCTATAAAAATGTGAGCTTGAACACCCTGCAGGATGCACATGAGGAACCTCACGTGTCCCCTGGGCAGAGGGAGAGCCCCCGGCTCCCGACGCGTCCCCAGGACGTCACCACCCACTTTGCTCCTTACGTGTGTCCCCCCAAAGCTGAGGTTCCTCAAACACCAACCTCTCCCCCCCCCAAAGCCTCACCCCTCCCCATCACCCAATTACCACAAATTAACCTTATTGAGGGAAAAACACACGCACGGGAAGGGAAGAACCGAAGAGGGGGGACGAACCTGCAGCAGCTTATATTTAATTTAGCAAAATCTGTGCCTGGTGGGGAACCTTCCCAGGGGCAGCAGAGCCATTTCCCTCGTTAAAACCCCAACGAAGAACCTCTCCCTTTTCCTCAGAGAACAAATTTTCAAGCTTTCTCTGCTCGAGGCCGTACCCCCTGTGTAAGACAGAAGATGGGAACAAAACCAGAGCTGACGACCCAGGAAATTTCCACCCCCTGCGTGTCCCCAGAGTCGTGGGGGTCTGAAAACACGGAGCAGAAGCACCAAATGCCATCGATTGTCACCTCAACTGTCACCTCCCAGAGCACCCCAACATCCCCCCGCTCCCCAGCGCAGCAGAGCCCGGCCACACACACACACACAAAAAATATGGAGAAAACCACCATTGAACAAAAACTCAATTCAAGACAGATTAAAAAAACAACCCACCCAACGATTTTAAGAGGGATGAGACTGGACCTGGTGACAAATTGCACATCAACACGTCCACGTTCCAACCCAATAAACAGCAAGAAAATGGGATTTATCCCCAACACCAGGTGGTCCCACCCCTGAAACACCACAGCTCATTCCCCGCCGGTGGGTTTCTCCCTCCTGCAGGAAACGGCCGGAAACGGGTCAAGAATTTTTGCCTTTTAGCTCTTAAAAAAACAAAAAACCAACCAACCAAACCCTACCAAACCCATCTCTTGCCACACGGGTTTTCTGCCCCGAAATCACATCGCCCTGAAGCTGAACTAAATGGAAAAACCCGAGGAATAAATCAGGAAACACCCACGCAGGGTCCCCCCGATGCCCCGGGGAGCAGGAAACCTCCAGCAGAAAACTCAACACCCAGCGTTTAACTTCCTTCCCCCGCTACCGAACGGCCAAATTTAAGGTAAAAAAGAACCAAATTCAAGCAAATCCACCACCAGTTTGGGGTTTCCCTGCCCGCAGACCCCCAGGGAGCAGACACACCAGCACAGGGAGGATTCCTCCGTGCCCATCGTGCATCTGAACCCCCCCAAAAAAAGGGGTGCAGGTGCCTGGTCTGGCTCCTTTCTCTTTGGGCTCATCACCCCCAGGGACCCACAGCCCCGAGAGGGACACGTCACCTTTTGGGAGCAGCAAACCTGGAGCAGATGAAGAGCAGCGGGATCTTTACTGGGGACATGGTGGAACCACGGAGAGATGGAGAGGTTTGGGTTGAGTCACCTCCCCCAAGAAAACAGCAAAACGGATCTTTACCCCTTTTAGGCCTTTTATTTTGATAAAATTGGTCAAGCCCACATAAGGCAAATATACACCACAGGTAAAACCGCCCCCCGCCCGCTCCC